GAAAGAAGCATTGAGATACTGGTGAGGACCCTGGGGAGAATTAATTTTGAGTGCTAAACAAATGCTGCCTTAACACGCACCAGGAGAGGTGGGCGAACTTGTTGAGCGCTCAGCTACACAATGGATAGAAAGACACGACATAGCGTAAATAAACATCAGTCCACTCAGATCCCCTTTGAAACTGAAGGCTGCTGCCTATGCCCTTAATTGGAACAGCGGATAACGGTAATTGTGAGCTCTGGGTTCAGGGTCCACTTTATTTCCTTCGGCACAAGGCCTCAGCGTTGTGCTAGGACATTGTTTATCCTGATGTGTGTTGTCGTATTCCAGTTGATGCACTGTGGGGCTGGCAGTTTCTCAGGCACTCTGCGTTGACCTGGAGACACGGTCCACCGCACAAGGACACTCCTAAACTGGAGGCTGCGATGGCGTGTGTGAAGGTTCTTGCTGAAATACTCTAGGACAGGGGGAAACTTCTGGAGATGAAGCTCTAAGGCTGTTGTCTAGTCCTGCTCAGGTTTCCTAAACCTCTCGATTTCGTGCACAGACACTCTACCTGTCTGTCAAGATTTTTACATCTTTTCAGGACGTTTTCACACCCACCCTGAAAAATCTGTCCAGCCACATCTAACATATGGTGCTGACCCAGCTGTCATCCCTGTTCTGCATCCGCACGTGTCTGACGTATGGCATATAGAACTGGCGAGCTGTGAGATGTGAGGAAAGACCGGCAGCCCCCAGCTCCCCTCACACGCCATTATTGCTGGCGGGGGGGTGACTTTTTTGAACGCCAGCTAGCCAACCAGTGAGAATCTGTCCTCAGGCAGGTGAGCTAGTGACCCCGCACTGGCCTGTAGAGCAGAAACCTCAGCGTGTTTTATGATACCAGCCTTAAGCACCTTTTGGGGGGAAAATCCTCCTCACTTCCCACATACCTCTGCCAGCTTAGTGTAGTTTAATTTGTTTGGGTTTTATTTGTTTTTTATTTTACTAGTTCTGCTTGGAGCTGAAATCATCATTCTGAAATGTAGATCTTACCTCATGCCTACCCGTGTTGAGTTTGGGAGCCAAACGAACTTGAAGCCCCAAGTTCATTGTGGTTTTTTTATTCAAAAGTAGCATCAAGAAAATTGACGATTGACCAACAATTTAAGACAAGTTAGCACGGATACCTTGCGGTACCCCCCTGTCGTCATGCTGGGATGGTGAGCCCACTCACCTCACTGGGTCAGACACCACATGGCCTGGACCTTGCACCAGCCAGGGCCGCTTGCCGCGTGTTGATACGTGGATTTTGCATAACGCTGATCCGGGAGCTCCTTCGCCTCACCGCGTTTGCATAACATCATTTACATTGACGTGCCTTCAAACAGGGGCCTCCAATCAAAGCTCGGCGCCACTCCGTATCTGCGGTCTGCCCCTCCTTCCCTCCCCTCGACCACACACGCCACGGGACGCGAGGTGTGCGATCTTAAACAATATCCTCGTTACTCTCTCCCCACCCCCGCCCCGTTTGCATCTCATCGGCGCTTTTGGAAGAACTACAGCGACATCTGCATGATTCCAGGCTCCAAAGCGCCAGCCTGGTGCCCAGAGCCGCTGTGCTGTGCTGCGCTGCGCCGCTGCGCTCCCTGTGCCAACCTGCAGTCCGTAGCATTCATTACCACAATTAATAAACATGGCTAATTGTGTGGTGCATTAAGCCTGTTTAGCGTAAACACCCTCCCTGGAGGGTTGGGACGTGACAGGAGGGGAACGGCAGGGCGGATGGGGTAAGAGCACGGGACAGTCAAATTTCGGGCATCGCGTTGGGATATGTCTGCCTTTTTTTTACTGGATATTTTTACTTTGAATTTTTATTTTGAAAAGAATTAAGATTTCAAAGAAGAGCTAAAGTTTGGTCATTCCTCAGAGGCTTGCCAAGGCCTTCAGCTCCCACTTGAGAATTTCAAGATTCGGTCTTAGTAATTTTTAAAAATTACATATTGTAATTTTCAAAAATTTCAATGTATATATTCCCAGTCTTTGAGAAAAGGAAAATAATTTGTTAACACCCCTTTTGTTCTCCTGTACAAAGAGCTGGACATGGGGTGCGGGGGGGGGTGGAGAAATCACCACAAGGAGACGAAAAAACTGCCAACATGGTGCAGTCTCTGCCCGTCAATTAATATCGGGCGGGTGCGTACATCTGCAGGGGCAACGGCACCCCCAAAGGGGCCGGCAGCCAGACAGGCTTCTCCGCGCCCAGAAACAATGGATTAATCGCCCCTAATGACTTGGCACGGGTGATCGCCATCCAGGCAAGCATACTAATTTGCGCATAAATTATGGCTGGTCTGCTCTAGGCTGTTGGGGGGGGGCATAGGGTTGGTTTTGTTTTTGTGTTTGCGGGCTGAAAATGGCAAGCGGCCGTGACAGTGTGCCCGCGGCGATTCCCACGCCAGTTTCACTTGCTCTGGACTCGCCGTCCTGCCCGCTATCCCCACATTTCGTGTCCCCTTTTCTTGGGCTCCTATACAACAAGATGCTATTTTGCCCCCACCCCCCAATAAAGGAAACAACATACTTCTTTCACACAGTTGCTTTTTTAAGTTTAAAAGCATAACCCAACATTACAAGTGCCATCCACAACCGTAATCCTGCGACGGGAACATGTGAAACACCGCAGAAGCAAGGCTTCAGACCAAAACCCATCTATAGTGACAGATTCCAGGATTTAAGAAGGGATGCTGCTATGTTAAGTAACGCTAAATGCATGTAGATACATATTTCATGTGCATGCCGCCTACTGCTTGTGCATGCGTGGTTATCTCGCTCAAATTGCGAGTCGCCTAATTAATCCGGGTAGAGAAGGTCGAACAGTGGCGCGTTTTTTAATTAACGTTGGATTTAAATGATCTGGCAGGTTGCCGGAAAACAGGCGCCCGGCTTTGAACAATTTCTACAGAATAATGAATCTTTCATTCTTTTTTTTTTTTTTTTTTACACTTTGTGCTGCTCCATGCTCGCCCCCATGCTCTCCTCTGTCAGTCGCCAGCCTGCCTTAGCGATTTAATGATATGCAAATGAAATATGCATAAAACCATTCTGCTGTACGGTGATTAAGCGCCAGGGACATTAGCCCGGCACCTCGCCAGTCTGTCGTTGTGTCTCGGCCGTTCCCTTTTCCTTTTCCAGACACCGCAACCCAACTTAAGAGCGATCGTTAGATCGGTAGATTTGTGTTTGCTACGGCACCGATATCCAAATTGACGAGGAAACATTCCGGATGGGGGTCCACCCTGCCCCTTGATTTTTGTAAGATCCGAGCTGCGATGCGTGGGTCCCCCGGAGCCGGCGCAGCTGGTCCCTGCCGAGCGAGAGAAAGGCCAGGGTTTGTTGGAGAACGACTTTTGGGGACGCCAGCCTTGCCAGGCGGTGCAGAAGCAGCTCCCTGCTCACTTGCTGGCCGTGTGGTCTTACATGCAAGGTTGATAGAGAAGGAGAAATACATTCTCCCCTTTCTTTACCTCCTCTCCCTCATCTCCCTCTCTCTCTCCCTCGCTCTCTCTCTCCACTGTACTCCTGTGTTGCAAACGCTCATTTTTTTTTGTAATCCATTTTGTATAATGAAGATGTGGTGCAATTAACATCCCCAGTGGAATCAAAATAAAAGGCCGACGCTCCAAAGCTCATTAGCCCCGAAAAGATTATAATTTCCACTCACGTTCCGCGGTGACAATTTTTTTTTTTTAAAGGGAGATAAAAACAGAAATCTAATTAAAACGTTAATTTGCTGTTGTTGCGGTCACGCTTCGCAATATGATGGTGCAAGATGCCCAGAAAGATGCCAGCTTTTTTGAAATAATCCATCCGTGCTGGTGCCAGCCTTGGCTCTGTTATGTTATCATGGTACTGCTGGTGGAGGAGTATGGAGGCACATCTTATAATCCTTCTCTTTGGATGACTTCTTCAATTATTTATAATCCACAACCATGCTCCCTTGTCCAACAAAAACGGGGAAAAATGGGGGAAGACGAATGGCGAGAAAAGTTTTCAGGCTGCATCTGTAATTGCCGTAGCCTGATTAGTAATTTTTCTTGTTAATTACGCGGTAATTTTTTTTTTCGTCCGCGCTTTTCAACAAATTAAGGCGAATAAATCACACTCCCTGTGTACTCCTCTTTGCGGTGACGGTGGAGGTGGTAGCGGCATCCATCCTTGGCTCTGTGCCCGATGCCAACGGACCCCGCGGGATCCACAGAAACCCGCGCCGGCACCGCCCAATTGGTGCCCGCAGAGCGCCTGTTTTGGTGGCTCGCTGTGTTGTCCCTGTGACTGCTGCCTTGCCCCCTCGGAAAGACAGACTGTGGGAGAAAGGACATGGCTGGGGGTGGGGTTGGGTAGTTTCTTGGTTGGTTGGCAAGCAGTGGCAAAAAAAATAAGAAAGAGGGGAGGGGGTGGCAAAGCTTTCCCACCTCCCTCCAGCCCCCACCCCTGCGGGATGAGATGCAGGTGGGCTTGCCCCCATGGGCACCGCATCCTCCTCCTCTTCCTCTTAGATGCTGCCGTCTCTCGTGCCCCTCCATGAAGTTCCTGCAGGACTCATGCGTGCATGTGTTTGGATGTGCGTGTGCGTGCCATCTCCCTCACCGGTCTTTCTGGTGGAGTCCAGAGTCTCAGTCATTCATCTCCTCGGTGATTGCTGTAGATAAATTGCACACACACACACCTTCCTGCTCGTCACCCGACTTGCTTTCAGTTTGACGTTTTTCTTTTTTCTTTTTCTTCTTTTTTAAGAAGTTGATATTGTCGCACCCAAAACTAAATTTCATACATCCAAAAACTGGCTTTAATTGGTTTTATCTGCATGTTGCGATAATTAAAAAAAAAAAAAAAAGCAGGAAAAAAACCTTAAATCCCGCCCGAGTCGCTGATTAATTTATTTTTTTCCAAGGATCATTAGTATGCATCCTCATGATTGCATTTTTTTTTCTCTTTTGTGTGTCTTTTGTAAACAGCTGCAGCTGACTCGTTGGCACAGTCCCCCCGGTCCTTTCTGCCCGCCTCCACTCCTGTCTGGGCCGGCCGATTGGCAGCCTGGCAGCATCTGCGGCACCGGTGCCCGTGGCGAGCAGGTCCTCCGCGTCGGATCCAGTGGCCGGCTTGACGGCAGACGGCAGTGGCGGCAGTAGAGGCTGGCGATCTGGGCAGCCCAGTTGGCAAGCAGAGAGGGTGGGGGCGTTGGCACGGGTAGCACCAGCCCTGTACTCCTCCTTTCCCAGAGGAACCTCTCGCCTTCTGCTTTGTTTTGTCTAATTTTTTTAAGGGGGAGGCTTCATTTCATTGAAAATCTGTCCCATTCCCATTCAGAGAGTCCGTCGTGCTAATTAACCAAACAAACTTTTGTTGTTTTAATTAATCGTCACCATCCTCGTCTCGCCTTTGTTCTCGCCTTGCGTCTTCGCCCGTCGCCCTGCGATTGGCAGTGTGGTCCGCACCCGCCATCTTCAGCCCCCTCCGTCTTCCACCCCAACAGATGCCACCATGGGAGACGTTGGCGCATCTGGGCGTCGCCGGGCAGCCCCCCGTGCCGCAGCCGGCGCTCCTCTCCATAAACGCGGGACCGTCGCAAGGAGATCGGCGGCTGCGCTGAGCATCCCCTGCCCCCATCTTCGGGGCTCGCGCCACGTCTGCCAGCGAGCCGCATTGGCATGGCAGAGGCGATCGCCGGCTGGCTGGCTGCCTGGCAGAGGCGATCATGCTCGAGAGAGAGAGGAAGCAAAAGGGGAGGCGCTTGTTCTTAGCCACCGCCCCCCAGCCCCCCTCCCAACGTGTTACTTGCCACCATGCAACCAACCTCCCCAGGACTGAGCACCAGTCAAGTTTTCTGTCTGTTTTTTTGTGTTGATATTTACCCCCCTACCCCCGTTTGACTCCCCAGCAGTGCCCATCTCCATGACTTCCCCCTGGCATCCGTTCTCCATGACTGCCTCAGGTCTTCTGGGAGACATGAAAAAACAGTCCAAGTGGTCATTACCCACCCCCAGCGGCTTGCACCCCGTCCCGCAACCTGCTCCGATGTTGCGCCCGTGCTGCCCTGCTCTTGCCCCATAATTCCACCGCCAGCACTTCCTGTGTCGACTTGGACGGTGGGCTCTCTGTCCTCCGCTCTTCGGTGAGCTCTGGTCTGGTTTAGGCTCCCGAGTTCCGCTCACCTTGGCCGACCACCTCATCCTTGCGGTTGTTGGTTGAGTGTCACCACAGTTCCGACGGACCCCATCGCTCGTTTGCGAATTTTAACCGACAGGCGGTGGCCGGGGGTCTCTCTTTCTCTCTCTCTCTCTCTTTCTCCCCCACGCGATCATGCTACATCTACCCACTTCCTCGTAGGAGAGAACAAATGCTCGCCCGTCTTGGCGCTGCCCCTGAATGGATGGCACTGTGCCAGCTTCTCACTGCCATCATCTGCATTCGCAGTTTGTCTCTCTCACTCACTCGCCCTCCCTCTCCCTCGCTCTCTCCCTCATTCTCTCTCTCCCTCGTACCCTCCCTCCGCCAACACCCTCTCCTTCCTCCTGCCAACCCCTGTGACACCCCCCCCCCCCCCCCCCCATTTTTTGTTTTATAGGCTTGACATTAATTAACATGCGGGTTAATTGATTCTAAATGCTGATGAATTGCCCCTAACGTTTCCCATAGGGTGGTTCGCCTGCCACCTGCCCGCTCGTCCTGCCCTTCCTGGCACCACCCTCGCCCCGCGGAGTGCATGGCAGTCCCGCCGGCAGCGTGTCCCGGTCGCACCGTATGCCGTGAGGGATCCCCGGCTGCTGGCTGGGCATTTGTGCCACCGGATCCTGCCTGCAGGATGTTGCTGTGGCATTTTGTTCCGAATAATCAAGGTCCTCCTGGACCCCCCCCCCACATACTCATCCGTACCCCCCCACCTCCTCTTTCTATATTCCTTTCTCCCGCCCCCTTTCTTGCATCCATCTCTCTCTTCTGATGATCCTCACACACACCCTGCATTCCCAGCCTGCCCATCTGTCCACCCCCCCCCCCAACTCTCTCAGCTAAGTTCAGTAGACGTCGCCATTTTGAAGTTGGGAGAATTCAGGTTGTAGCTGAAGTGAATGTGTTTTTATTACTGTTGTTTTTAATTATCCTTGTAGCGATCTGTGCACTGATTTAACAGATTCGTTTCGCTGATTCCCCGAGTTGGACCATGTCGCTGTAAAGTCGCCCGGGCCTCTTCGGATCAGCATATTTGATGAGGTAATTACTGCTGCCAGAGAGCCTCCGTGTTTTCATTATTTTTTTTTTTCCTTACGCATCAGCTGATGAGATTGAAATCGGGGGGCAGAGCTGGTTTTAATTATTTAATAATTGCTCCCCCCAATCGCCAACCAGGGTCTTCCTCTGTTGTTAATTAAGGGGCACACAGAAGGCAGTGAGAGACGTGGCGGTTGCGGTCATTTCTGTTTACGGCGACTGGGGCGCCGTGCTGACTCCCCACCCAGTCTCTCCTGCCGTTCGGCAAAACTTTGCCGTCACTCTCTGTAAAATGTCTCGCTCCTCCTCAGACTGACATCAGCTCTTTCTTGACTGTAACTTGGTAATTGGTTTAGATATTTCCCCTCCTGGGCTGATTGCTCCCCCCCCCACGCAATCCCATTGTCTCTGCACTGGTTGGCGGGGGCGGTGGCGCGGCCGGGCACTGGCACACGCCTTTGTGGGCTCTGTTTCCCTCCTCCTCCCCTTCCTCCCTTTTTTGTTTTTTTTTTATTCCATTATTAAATAAAAAGGAGCAGGAAGCAACAGAGGCAACAAGAGGAATCCATTATGCAGATTGGCCGCTATTTGCATAATGTCTTATGCCAGGGATATGCAAATGAAGCGTATAATTTATGAGTGCCTGCGTCTGTCTCCGAGTGTTCCCATAACTTACAAAGAAGGGGGCTTTTTTTCCACCCCTCTCTCTCTTTCACCAAGCTGGCACCGATGTCACACACACATGCACGCACGCGCACACACGCATACACACACGCATACACACACGCACATACATTTGCACACATGCAAAGCAAGCGGGCGACTGTATTCTCACTATAGGGCATCATGTATGTGTCTCTTTGTGGGGGAAACAGCGTCTTGTGGACGAATGGTGGGTGAAAGTGCAGTGGGGGGGCCGTCACCCACCACGCACAGCAAAATCTGCACCAGCTAATTGTTTTTCTTTTTTTTTAATTGAGTTAAATGACGACAAAAAAAATCAACGGAGCATGTATCTTTGGGATTTTCCCCACAAAGATCTCCGGGGCACCTTCTCTCGGCATGTCCGTAGCCCCCGCCTTCTGACTTTCGGATAACGTGGAGCGACGTTGGCATCATGGTTGGCGGCGGGGGCGAGCACGAAGGGTACCGTGTCATCGAAGCCTGCCTTTTTAGTGTGCCCCCCATCATGAGGTTCCTCCTTGATGCTGGCTTTATTGTGAGAGCCGGCCTTGTTTGCATACTGGATGTTATGTTAATGTCTTCTGTGACAAGATGCGCCGGAGACAAAGAGGGAGAATAAGTGGGAAGGCAGCCCGTCTCCGTACCGCAGCCGCATCCCGCAGCCGCATCCCGCAGCCGCATCCCGCCCCAGGAACACAGCCGCAGACTGGGCTTTCTCCTACCGTCTATCCGGATTGTCACTTAAGGCCTCTTCACGAAGGAAATGAAGGATGTTTGTTCTGCTTTCTGGGTGTATATTTGGTCTGTTTTTCCTCTTCCTCATTTTTTTGGGACCATGGCGCTGTAGAGTCTGTGCTTGGGGCATCCCTCTGCCAGCGGTGAGCTGGCGTGGCCGTCGCCCGCCGATCTGACCTGCCGGTGCTCCCGCTGTCCGGCAGCTTGCCTGGCACCAGGTCGGCAGGGCAGAATCGCCGTTCCTGAGCACCTCTCGTCCTCTGCCTGGGTGCCGGCACACGCCTGGAGGGCATCAACCGGGGGCACCTGTGCCGACTTGTCGGGATTGTAGGCGCGACGGCTCGGCTCCAGGCTCCAGGCTCCCAGCTCTATGCTCGGTGCTCCAGGCTGGAGCAGTGATTGCCGTTCCCGGGCCCTGCTCCGCCAGCCTCCAGCCCTCCTGCCACTCTGTGCCTCGCAGGGACCCCGCCGGAGCTCCCGTTAATTAGCACGCTCGCATCGCTTTGCCAAACTGCTCCAGTGATTCCTCGTCCCGTTATCTCCGCTTCGTTTGCGTTTATGTCGGCACTCGTGTTTTTTTAACACGCTGATTCTTTGTTTCTCAGGTTTTACTGGGACCCTTTGCATTTGCTGTAGATGCCACTTTTAATTCAGTCAGACTAATTATTCGTAATTGTGTAGTGGCTTCTTTTATATTCCTTATATATGTACATATGTTAAAGATTAGCTGTTTTTTTTTTTAAATAAATAAATAGAAATTATTCCTGAAAAGCACACACACACGTTACTTGTCGATTTTGGATGCTTTTTCTTTCTTTTTTGTTCTTTCTTTTTTTTAAAAAAAGATTATTTATATTATTTATATATGTTCATATATATGTTTTTAAATAAAATTGAAAATTTTTAGGTTGCCTGCTAGGTCAAGCTACAACTGTGGTGAAAATCACATCAGAATGTATTTATTTATATGCTGGTATTTTTATTAAAATATTTAACAAAATTTTTCATTGATAATGTTGTTTGCATGGTTATAATTTTTTTTCAAAAGTTTATATGAACTCTTAATTATTTTCTGTTTCCAAAAGATTTGTTCTTTTGAATTTGTAGATTAATACCGTAGTCATTTATTTGAACAAAATAGTATTTTCCTTAACAAAGGTTCATTCAAAATCGCATCATACTTTATGAAAAAGATAAGAAAAGCTATTTAAAGTTTAATGTAATATCAGAAAGGGCCAGTCCTGCAATTGTATTCACAGGCAAACTCGTTTTGTCTTATCAAGGATATGTTTAAATTACAGATTTGTCTGAAGTGATTTCAGAAAATATGAAACATAAAGATGATTTCTTAGGTAGAAAAAAGCTTTATTATGGGTAGAAGATGGACATTCAATTACACATTGCTGCTTGGGAGCCTTTCTTTCTGTCTGTGGATTAGGATTTGTTTTTCTCATAGCCTGTCTTCCTCCTTTTATACAGATTTGAAGAGCCTCTAGAACAGCTGTCTCTCTGTCTGCATCCACACACCTCTCACACACAGTGGCAACTGTTGATGGCCGGATTGGCAGCAGGGGGATTGAGTCAGAGGTCTTTAAAAGTACACAGGATGCTGAGTACACCTGAGCACAAGACGTACATGGGTCTCTCAGGTCACCTCTGCTGAACGTGAAGGGCTGTTTCAGTATCTGTGAGCTCTCTGCTGTAACTGAGTGCCTAATGCAGGTAGGCCGTTTTTTCAGCTCCTTAAATTCCACATTTGAGACCGTTAAGGCCCTGCGTTTGATCGACAAAGATATATAATATAAACGACTAGAAATTTTTGTAAGTCAAGATAAAAACGTCTGCTAAAAAGTGCATAATTATTTTGTGAATTGAAAAACAATTTTAAATGGATAAAATGTTCATTTTACTGTTTGTGGAATATTTATGTGAGTGAAGTAGCTATTTATAGCATTCTGTTATTGGGATTCCTTTTTTTAAATCCTTAAAGTTAATTTTTAATTAACTCAAAAAACAAATCAAATCTTTACATGTTTAGTATATTGTAGCATAACATTTCAAATAATTTTACAAAAACTTGTAAAACAAGTATGATTAGTTTTGAAGGGGTTAGATGGTGTTTTGAAAATGGTTTTTAAAAGTAAAATTGACTGGTATTTTTTCTGCACACTTACTGGGGATGAATTAATAAGAACCTGGGTTGTAATTGCTGGCCCCGGATGCTCCCCTTTGCTGGATGTACCCTAAGGGGTGGAGCCAGCTGGACTTCATGACGTCACAGCAGGAGAGAGTCTCTGAGCAGAGGCCGAAAAAGCACACATGCATATCTTTCCAAATACCAGGATCAGAACTCTTTTTATTGTTCCATCCATCTTTTAACCACTTATCCTGGTCAGAGTAAGCGGGTATTATTATTATTATTATTATTATTTTATAATAATTTTTTCAGCCTATGACCATCATGAGTTCTGCAGATTTCTTCCGCATGGGCAACAAACTCGCCTGCTGTAAGATCAGTAACACTGCATCATCACAGTAAGTCCTGGAGTCTCTGATTTTTTGGTTTTACCTCCCAAAAGGAATCTTTTTTTTTTGTCTGTGGGTGTTTAGACACTGCTGGCTTTACTGTGGTTTTGCGAAAACCTTTTTCAGAAAAACAATGAATGTTCACATAACTCCAGTAATTATATTTTTCTACTTGCTCAATTTTAGATAGATAATCATTTAAAAAAATGCTGTAATTGAAAAATACAGTTGTTTTATTATGGGTTGTATATGTACAGCCTGCTCTTACCAACAGATATGTTCTTTTTTTGAAAGTCACTTCTAGTTCTCATATGCTGATTTTTACAGTTTAGTGCTGCATTATAATTTAGTGTTTTAACATGATTTCTTTCAAAGACTGCTTACTTAGTAGGTAAAAAAACACCTAATTATGATTCATGAAACAGAACTACTGCATGCATTTTCTGATCACAGCAAGAGTGGGTTATTTATAAAGAGAAACAGCAAGCTTTGAGCTAGCTTCCATCGCTGTCAGGGTAGGTAAATGGGAGGAGTGTTTTATCGCTATCACCATGTCGCCCAGTGTGAGCCCGTTACTGCATACAGAGACATTTAAAAGCCTTGAATACAAGGTACCTTAATAATGCTGATTTTAATAATGCTGATTTCCTATTTTACATAATCTAGGTAAGTCTTGCAATTTCCTGTAAATAAATGGTCTGATGCACTACATGAGAATGCAAGGTAGCTGGTCCTTAGTGTCTGCGGTGGACTGCCATCACTGCCTCGAACCCTGTGCTTCAGCACACCTCCCGCCCCCCTGATGTTGCTTTATTCTGTCCTGCCATTGAGCACCAAAGTACCAAAGGTCTGCATAGATGCCTCAGCAGGGTTGGCTTTACCAGCAAAGCAACAAACCAAAGGTGTGATATGATTATCTGTTCAGTTAGTGCTCATTAGCCACTTATCGCGCTTGAATTAGGGCGCTAATTTCATCTGGCCTTCAGCTAACAGATCATCAGCCAGACCCAGACATCCGGTCTGTAACAGTGCAGGGAAGGCACCGGCGTGCCGGGAGCCCCTCCCCATCAGCATGATCAGCTGGCCCCCCTTGCTCATCTCCATTTGTTATTATTTATTATTGTTTAAAATTGCATTTTTTTCACCGTTTTCCAGGGGTGCTTTTCCATCCCTCTTTCAAGGGATTATTGAAACATTTCTCTACTAGTATTGGCATTTTAGATTTATTTACTTATTACACTTTTATCCAGAGAGTCATGCATTTGAGAAAGTAGGATCCGCCCGTCTCTGGAGCAACTGGGGTTAGGGGCCATGTTCAAAGGCCCAACAGTGAAATCACTGTTAGTCCTGGGTTTTGAACTAACAACCCTCTGATCATGAGCACAGGGTCCTAACCTGTAAAGCCACACATTTCTTTCTTTTGTATTCTCCAGAAAACATATTTCAAAGCACTCTGTGACTAGTAATACATAGAACTTAATTAGCTGATTGATGTCTAAGACGCAGTGATCAGTGCATTAGAACAGGTGAACCTGTGGCAGAAGGTAAGACACAAGTGCTTTTATTTACAGTTAGCACTATATGCTCGGGACTACTGTCCATCCATCCACCCATTTTCTGAAACCACTTGTCCTATTCAGGCTCACGGGGGGTCAGGAGCCTATCCCAGAGGCTACGAGCGCAAGGCAGGGAACAACCCAGGACAGGGCGCCAACCCATCACAGGCTTGGGGCCACTGCTCCTCAGTAAATAAGGATCCATTTTTGTTGCCATGTCTGCTTCATGTAATGATAAACATCTAAACATCTGCTGCTGTTCGCTTTCTTTCCATCCTTGTGGGTGAAGCTAATATGTAAACCATTCGCGAATATTAGATATTTAAATAGTAGGCAAATCAACTTCTTTACAAATGCAAAATGATAGATGCAACCACGTTTTTTCTTTTTACCGCCGAAAAATAATAATAAACCACAAAGCATCCAGAACAGAAGATGGCAGCCTCTGTAAAATTAAAATCACATTGTAGGTCATGGAGAGCACTGTAGCTGTGCCTTAGGGCCATATTCTGCCCTCACATCCCTGTATTTGCTGGGGCAGCCATGTTACAAAGCTGAAGTACCATCACGCCACTTCTCTAAGACATACCTCTATACACTTTTGAACATGGCCATGTGTTCGTATGCGGGGCGCTCCTTCTCTCAGCCAGACTTCCCTGTATCCCGATAGGTGGGGGAAGTCCCTCTCAAAGGTCAGCCTTGGTTTTAATCATTCGCCTTGGCTTCTGTCTGCGTGGCAGGATGCTGAAGTTTAAAGCTGCCAGTCACCTCAGAGCCGGTGAAGGTTTTATGTCGCCAGGGAACTGCACACGAAATTACAGAGACACAAACACTCACATGCATAAAATATGTTGCTGATTCTACTAAAGCCCCAGGGAACGCCACTGTGCACAAAGACAACAATGCCTTGACAACTAATTGCACATTACTGCATGTTGCCAACCGTAGCCTTTATAAATGTCATGTGCTGTACACAATTCTAAAATTTTTTCCCCACTGAAAATTTCCTGGGAGGTACAGTGGCACAGTGGTTAGCCCCCTTGCCTCATACTCAAGCCTCTGGTTACTTATAGTTAAGGTTACGGTTGGGTAGGGGTTGTCATTTTTGGGAATAGGGTTTTCCCATATAAATGAATGGACAGTCCCCACAAAGATATGAATACAAATGTGTGTGTGTGTAGAGTTTGCATGTTTTCTCCATGTTTTTGTGGGCTTCCCTTGATACTCTGGTTTCCTCCAAATTTCCAAAATCGTGTAGCTAAATGACGGACTACCATCCTGTCCCTGATATTCTGTAAGGGCCCTTAAACATTGACCCAGAAATATCTCATGATTGCTTAGTCGGGTTAAGACCACAGATTGCTAGGTTTCTAGACTTTGGATGCAGGATACAGACACATTCTTGTTTTTATACTCCTGGTTCAAACCACAGAAAGGACCTTCAGAATGCTTACTGATACATTATTGATGGAATAACTTAATTACACACCACAACAATTCTACCCACTGTTGGCAGTGGCGCAAGTCCAAGGATATCCCAGCCTAGGGTGTTGTGATATTTTCTCACGCTGCACATGACGGGTCATTCTCCAGGTCTCTGCTGAGCACTAAACCCGTGAACCACATCAGTCCAGGCAGCGTCCTACAATTTAGGCCTCTTAAGGTGAATCATTGGCCCGCATGCTTCCAGAAGTGCCCCTGCTTTTCTCCAATTTTATCTGAAGTGCATCGCTTGGTAGGGGAGATAGACTCTGCATGTCTATGCAGCAGGATATTTAAACAGAAAAGCTATACTACTCGTATTAAATCTTTATTTCAGATTAAATTCGATAATTCACAGAATCGCATAGTGCTCTCTCCGGGTTACCGTGGTTCTACAGAGGCTCTCTCGAAGCAGTAAACGAGAGTGTCACGTGACGAGATGGCCCATAAAGCAAAGTGACATTTTGTGTTTTTGCCTGGAGGCGACTGAAATGGTGGGAGGAAGGCCCATGCAGGAGAATAGCTCGTGATTTCTCCACCCTCTATAGTCTGTAACTGTGATGCCGGAAGGTCATGTGATTTCTCCACCCTCTATAGTCTGTAACTGTGATGCGGGAAGGTCATGTGATTTCTCCACCCTCTATAGTCTGTAACTGTGATGCGGGAAGGTCATGTGATTTCTCCACCCTTCTATAGCCTGTAACTGTGATGTGGGAAAGTCTTGTGAATTCTCCATCCTCTATAGCCTGTAACTATGATGCCGGTAAGTCATGTGACTTCTCCACCCTCTATAACAAGGCAAGGGTGGCCAATCTTATCAGCAAAGGGCCAGTGTGTATGCAGTTTTTTTAAAATAACCTTTAGGTCAGCTGTTCCAACCCAAGTCTGTGGACTCTTAAGCCAATCAGTCCTGTAATTCGTAATCTAATTAAGGAGGTACAGTGAAAATCGGCATATACAACAGCTCTTTCTGGTCTATAGCCAACAACTGATGTGGGCAGATCATGTGATTTCTCCATCCTCCATAGCCTATAAAAGTGATGGAGCAGGTCATGTGACTTCTCCATCCTCTGTAGAAACAGCCTATAATTGTGATATAGGTAGAAACACTTGTGGTAATTGTTTGCCTGTTATTTTATAAGATAGGGATTCACTTCTGACTTATAATTATTATTTTGTGATCTCACTTCTTTATTTTTCTTATAGTGAAGCATGAAAATATATGTCTGATGTAGGGGCAGAGATAACCATGAGCTTTCCTTTCCGCTTTGCATCCATGCTGCAGACCAGTGCCACAGTATCTGCATTTTGATTGGCCTTGTGGTCTGGTTCAATATGCAGCTTCCACCGTAAGTGTCTAAGACAGCAGAGGTGGCCTCTGTGATTTAATTGACAGTGCTCTGATAGTCACCTACTAGCCCAGGATTGAAATGCCGCAGCACATTTTACCCTTCTGCACAGGCAGCCATGTGATGCACTAAGAGTGAGCCTGCCTGCCGTTCCTAAGGTTCTGCCGGCCTTGGCCTTTGATTGGCTGCCGTCAGAAGCTCTCTGCTGATAGCACCGGGCAATTTGTCTCACGCCACTTCAAGGCTTCCTATGAACTGGAGATATATGGTTCATTCCTCTGGAATCAAGCCTGTGGTTTGATGTGAGCCTGAATGCCGGCATCCAGCTGGCTATTTATTCAGTCTCCCTGAAACCTCTTTAACACACATATATGCGTGTTGTTCCCCTGTGGCATTTTGCATAGCGATTGCATGAGATGCATTGCAGCGCTGCAGTATGGGACCCCCTGCCAGCCTCTGGCTTGGCGTAAATGCGGCATGGGCCCTGGACACGCCCCTCCTCAGGGCTCCGCCCACCTGTCTGGCTGCCCCCGCCATACGCTGTGTGCCGTGTAGCGCCCTTCTGCAGCTAGCACTGCTCGTTAAAAGCAATAACTTATCTCATGTTTGAAGCTAATGGGAAGAATACTGGCCGCAATGAAAAATAAATTACGGTCCCCCCTCCACCTTTCGCTGCCCTCCTAACCCAGTGCGTAATATTGCAGCGTAGAGAGTGTGCATTACAGATCTTAGGCATTAGAATTTATCTGTGCTGTATGAAGCTGACTGATGCATTTGAAAATAATGTAGTGGAGTAGAACATTACAGGGACTCCGTAACTAATGGGCAGCCCTTGCCTCTGGCTGCCACTGTATATCATTCAGTCAGACCTACCTCATCAAGGGCTCCTGCTCTGCCCTGGGACTCAGGAGCTGTGCTGCAGCCGCTTCCCCAAGACCAGACGCCCCATGCAAATCGAGCCCCAAAAACTGCAGGGTGGAACAGAAATATCATGGATGCAGGATCATGTGTTGTTAGCTTCTTTTGTCTTTGCCTGTGAAATGTAGGCCTTCTGCATCTAAGCCACTATCCATGGCTAAAGTGCACGAGTGCGTTTTCTCCTGAAAGCGGAAGCGGGGTTGCCCACGGCAACGGGAGAACGTTCATTCGGTGTGCCCGTGGATCGCCATGCCAACCGCAGCCGTCCATGATGGCATCATCCCTAGCAATGTGATGTGTGGGTAACAGCACGGGTATTCTGCCCCATGTGACAGCATGAGTATAGAACACACACACATAAATCAGTGACTGCGAAGATGGGGGCCCAACTGGAGTGGATTTTGTTAATAGAACATTAACGGGGGGGTGGGGGTACGGTACATGAGTAAGGGCAACTTTCAACAGCATAATAGTCCTAAATGTGTCGGCACCTCCACCATAAGTGAGTCACAGGGAATCTGCATTAGTTATTTGGCCCCATTACATAATGGCCGCTTGGCCATCATTTGCACCACTAATGAATGATCTGAGGCTCAATCGGCACTTACAAATGAATATGATTAATCTGTGGCAGAAAGTTTATTTGCTTCACAGTTCACATGCAAATATTCTGTGCCTATCTCTCCCACTCTTGTTCTCTTTATGTGTGTGTATGAATATTTATGCTACTTTTTCTCTGAACATTTTATTTCATTTTGTTTATGTTTAATAAATGTGCCTCACAGCACTTCCTCTAGCTTTTAAAAATGAGTCGGTGAAAAGAATGCAAAAAAGAGGGAAAGGAAAGAAAGAATGACCAAATTAATTTAATCCATAGAGGGGTCGGAAAGTGCAGAGCAATGCATTCTGCTCGCTCAGCTGCTGGGGACGATGCTAATAAGATCATGTGGGGAGGTGGGGGTGGGGGGGGGGGGGGTTTGAGGGGGGGCGGG